GTGCACAGAAAAGCTCCCTTTTATAATACTGCTCAAGTTCGTTGGGAAGTTCAAACATAGTAAGAACGTGTGCGATTTAATGGGCCGAAAAATTTCTTTTCAGTTGTTTAAATATTCTGCCTTTTTATTTCCATGCTTTATTGCGCATTAGTTTCAAAAGGATAATTGTTTTTATCATTATTATCATTACCATTACTATTATCACCGACGCTATTATTAGTATTACAGTCCTTTTTGTAATTATTGTTACGGAAACCAATATTATTATCATTTATATTATTAGTATTGTCATTAGTATTATTATCGTTATCAGCATTATTATCATCATTGCTGTTTTTAGTGCAGTAATTGTTATTATTATTGTTATTATTACTATGGCGACTATTTAGCATTTCTGTCTTGTTGTTAATGTTATCATGTTAATATTCCATACGTATTCTATTAACACTATTACATTATTACTATTATAATTACTCTGTTTATTGACTAATATTATTTTATCCTTATTTCTATCCTTATTATAAATAATGACATGAATGAATGAAACAAAACACTTGAGCATCATTTTTCCCTCATCACCGCAATATTTAAAACAGTTAACGAGTGAGAATTCGCGGCTTAGAATATCTCACTACCTGGCGCTCCTTTGTTAAATTCTTAAGGTCAAAGTTTCACGTTTTTCGTGTCAACTCATGAGAGAATGCGATAGTGTATTTTATGTTTCTGATTAATATGTAAACGGCAAGGAGCGGAAAAGAAGGGGGAAGTGACCATGACCCTAACTTGCAACTTCACAGCTTTCGTAATTCCTGAGCCGAAGTGCGTGATCAGACTGACTGCTAAGTAAAGTGTGCTTTTGTGTTGCATCAGTGATACATTTAAGCTGTGGCTACAATGTCACAGGGCTGCCTTTGTTATAAATTGGATTGCAGATTTCCGGAGTTATATTTGTTGGATTAAATTCTTTAGCCCATAGTGAGCTTACAAGCTTTTTAGTTTGCTTTATAGCAAAAATCTGGACAAATTCGCCTAAGACTGGCTCAAGGAGCTGAAATTTGAATACTTAATTCGGTACATATTTTGGGATGATGAATTCCTAATAAAAATCGTTATCGAACTAATCCAATCGTCTTATGCTGCCAAATTTATCTTCATTTCACCCTTCTCTCTCTCTCTCTCTCT